ACGCGTCGTGTTTTTTATTTTTTTTTTAAAAAAAGAGGTTGATCTATATACGTTCGTTTTTATTTTTTTAAGTGAAAGACAACGATTTGAAAATATTCGTCGCAATGAAGAAATTCTTAGACAACTAAACATTCCAGAACTTTCTCGTTCTGTAAAATATAAACTAAAACCAAAATCAAGACCAAAACCAAAAAAGCAACTTCAAGAAAAAAAGCAAAGTCAGCCTACACGTCAATCTTTACGTTTACGCGGTTTCACACCTGACGGGTCTGATGCTAAAAGAGAAGCTGAAAAAGTAGAAAAAAGACGTGAAAGAGAAAAACGCGTTAGAATGATGGGTGATCTTGATTTAAATTCTGTTCGATCAGATATGACATCTATCGATGATACCAATTATTTTGTTGATCTTTTATCTAAAATGAGAAGGTTCTCTGATGACGAAAGTACTATTTCAGATGACATTGACTATAGTAGTATTGCAGGAGGTGCGGATGGTTTTAAAACAGTTCAAAGGTCTTGTCGTTCGCTCGCCATTAGAATGCAATGGGCAAGCGTTAAAGTCACCCCAGATAGAATATACAGTATTGCTGTTCATCCTGCTAAGGAAAAGGTGCTGGCTGCTGCTGGTGATAAAGAGGGATGGCTTGGATTTTGGGACGTTAATGAAACCGTCAAATCAGAAGATGACGACGAAGATCAACCTAGGACCTACATGTTTCAGGCTCACTCAGCACCTATAACGTCTACAATGTATTCCCCTACTGATTCTAATCATCTTTACACGTGTTCATACGATGGATCCATTAGATCTTTTGATTTTAATCAAGCAAAATTTATGGAAGCTTTTAGGACTGAAGAGCCTGAATATTTATTGTCCAGTATGGACATGGATCCTAATGGTCAGACAATTTACTTATCTACAAACGAAGGCAAATTTGGAATAAAAGATATCCGTGAACCAGCAGAAAAATTTACGGAATATAAACTACATGAACATAACACAATCGTTAAAGCATACTTGATTCACTTATATGTACTTTATAACCCCATAGTCTTTTATTAGGTACTTTTTTTTATTCTTTTTCTTTATATTCCATCATACTATAGAAAATATAGATTCAGAATCCTTCTAGTTAACTTTAGTATCACGTAGTGTTCTGGCCCAGTTGAATTGGGTAGTCAACCTATAGGTTAACTACATCAATGTCATGTATTTACTCTCAATATTATTAACTTGATTTGGCCTATATATTTGACTTGTAAAAACTAATAAATAATAGAGTCAAATAAGTTAGTAATTAGTATATTAAAGTAGAAATAATTTAATTTTTATAGTATTATAACAAAATAATTTAATTTTTA